TCAAGGTTTTTGAATTTTTTGGGGATGCTACATTCCCCCAGTGGGTTTGGTTGTGCAGTGAGCTTTATTATATTCCTTCCAGATTGACCCCCCAATGACCATCCACTGTAGAAGCACCATGTAGGTTTTGATAGAGCTGGCCAACTATTATGTCGGTTAGATTTGCCTGATATTGTTTGTTAATAACCAGAGATGACTTGGATATTTTGTTTACAAGTTCTTGAGGACCATTGACAGGAAAGATGGATGCATATTTTATGATATAACTTGCATGAACCTTGAAACATGGCCATTATAAAGGTTTTTAAAGAAACCTGTTAATCCTTTGAAACGTAAAAGAAGATTTGTGTGAATTCAACTCTAATGTGTCACAGCTCAAAGTTCTTTGGTTAACCAGTTTGAATGAGTTGGTCTCCTTGAGTGTAATGCATTCCTTGATGCTCTCTTTTTTCAGTCGAATGCTCTGTATCCTTAGTATTCATTACTTTATCTTTGTTCTGTCATTGTTTTGCAGAGAGGAGATTGAAAGACAGCAAGCTCACGAAAGGTACATGAGGCTGCAAGAACAAGGAAAGACAGAACAGGCGAGGAAAGATTTAGGTAACATATTTGAATATGCTGAGAGTTTGTTCCTTAGCCTTAATCAAGCAGTTATACACCCCCACCCTCGAAATAAAAAGGAAAATAAATAAGAAGTATTCCCATCTTTCTAAAGGAGAAATGCGATATTGATTTTGCCATTTATTGTTTGACGTTTATAACCTTTCAGAGCGTTTGGCCCTTATACGACAACAGAGAGCAGAAGCTGCTAAAAAGCGAGAAGAGGAGAAAACTGGTAACTACCAGAGTTCTATTTTCAAATTTTGAATTTTCAATGGAATTTTAGTTTTTGCATTTTTCATCCCTGCAGCCAAAGAGCAGAAGAAGTTGGAAGCTCGCAAGTAATTTTGGCATGCTCCAATAATTGACGTTAAGTAAGATTTAGTTAATTGGATACGAGTCCAAGGACTATTACATTTCTCTGTTGGGAATTGTTACAACAGATGTTCACCCCATCGTCATTGCTGCTTTGTCAATGTTATACAACGAAGATATAATTATAAATAAAATGATGGTTCAACGCGATATTATAAGTGGACCTTTTTCTATTCTACAAAAATTTTCTCATCCTTTGATATCATTATGAAGAGGGTTCACTATTTGGAGGTTAACAGAGGCACATGAGAAGTTGCCATTTCAACTTTCTTTGGAAGAATTTGCTAAAAAAAAAAAAAAAGGTGAAATGTGAAAAAATCTTGGATGATTAATTTTTGTGCTCTGAGGCAATTATTGATTTCTTTGTGCCATATTCCTATAATCTGGGCCTTTGAGCTCATAGCAGGTTAAGCCATTGGGTTTACAGTAAAAGATAAAACTGCAGTCCAAAGGATTAGAGCAAGGATCATTTGGTAGGCTTTTTGCTTATGGGTAAATCCTTCAAAAGTTCATTAGTCAGATAAAATATTTTTAGAAACTTTTCGCAAATGACGGTTTTCAATTTTTTGTTCATTTTTTTACTTGTGATTTCAACTCTTTTTTGTTACATTGTTGTCTTCAATCTTCTATTAATAAACACATCTTGTAATTACGACAGTTTGGTCCAAAAAAAAAATTGCGAGAAGGGCGTAAAAATTATTTGCCTTTCATATTTTTAATTAAACAATCATATATACAAAATTTTGATAATACTTATTTTCTTTTCAAAGCACGATAACAGAATACCGGGATAAAAAATGTGATCGGAAATAAAATGTGTTCATCACTTCAAATTTAAAGATAAAAATATAATGAAAAAAGTTGAGAATGTAAGAAAATCGAAATTTTCATTACAAAATAAATATAATACAATCGAGAAAAAAAAAAAATGTGACGTGAATATAATTATTTATTTGTACTGCCTCGATTTGATTGTTTTCTCTTTTCATTAAAATTTTGACTTCGATTGTTTTATATATTTGAAATCCAATAAAAATTTCACTATAAAATATAAATGTAAGCAAAGGAATCCAATAAATATTTACATGTAGTGTTGTCCTCTCAGTTTCTAGATCATTTTGTTCGGTGCAAGTAGCGAACTCATTCGATGGCCGATAAGCAAAGTCCTGATGTTAAGCCTACTCAAAACCACACTCCTCCGACGGACTCACCCAAAATCCCGACTGGTTACTCCGGTGGAACCCACAATCCGA